CTTTGGTTACTAGACTTTATCTGAGTTATTGAGTCATTCAAAGCACACACTTGAGTACCTTTTAAAGCGACATATTTTTTGGCAACTCCACCGGGGACCGCTCCACCCCAAACCAAACTTCCTCAAATCCTACCTAACTTAACCCTCGAGTTTATTCAGACCAGAACAATAACCCTCATGGACCACCAGACTTTTATCTTGGTCGGGTCTATCCCTGCCTCCCTTAAATTGGCACAGTCGGAGACCATACGGCCACCATAATCCTCTTCGCTCCCTGCACCCACACTCAAGCTAGCGTCGTTATGATCCTCCTCAGTGTGGGTAGCCATATTGCTCCTTGCGTGGTAGCCATGTTGTCCTTAGTGTGGGTAGCCACACCGCTCCCAACGTGGGTAGCCATGTTGTCCTTAGTGTGGGTAGCCACACTAGTCCCAGCATGAGTAGTCACGCTGCCTCTAACATGGGAACTCACCCTAGCTCCAAGGTGGGTAGTTGTGTGGTCTCCAGCATGGCCACCCACCCTAGCTCCAGGGTGGGTGGCCATGTTGTTTCTAGCATGGGCAGCCAACCTAGCGCCAGGGTGAGTGGATGTGTAGTTTCAAGCATGGGCACCCACCCTAGCCCCAAGGTGGGTGGCTATGTTGTTTTTAGCATAGACACCAACCCTAGCTTCAATGGGTGGATTTGTTGTTTCCAGCATGAGCACCCAGCCAAGCTTCAAGGTGGGTGGACATGTTGTTTCCCAAATCTCCTCTTTAGCCACCATAGCATACACAACTCCACTCTCATTACTTCTTCAAAAAGAATAGACTAGGTAAGAAAGCTACAAAACTCTGCTTGACCAGATTTGGGAGCACTTTCCTCCTTGTTAGGTAGGAGTACCACTTCCACATTTCCCATTCGGAAGTGTAATAGTTTTTGCAAACATCATGTACTATGGCCCTCTAAAATCGTCATGGCCAGCCAAGAAGTATGGGACATACATCCATACATCACACCATACTTCATCCTTATATGTCTTTCCCAAAGAAAAAGAAACAACACAATGCAGAGAGACTTTAACCTTATTGCCTTTCTTGAACCATGAAATGCGAAACGGCTTCATATGCGGCCCACTTCATAACTACCGTCATCGATTATAATGGTGCATACCTTACCACCGTCTTTGCCTCGGGTCTTAAAAATGCTTCACTGAAGCCAATCTTCACCGATATCATCTTTAGGGTTGGTTAGAGCTAAGCGAATTACCAAGCTTTCTCCCACATCGAGCTCAATCTCTTCATGTACCAGCTCAGACTCTTCATCACAGGTGGGTTCAAAACTTTTCTCAATGAAATCCTCTTCCTCACCGTCTTCAACAAAATTGATTCGTGAAATTAAACTTCCTCCGAAGGCATTCACTCGAAAAGTGACAAGTTTGGCCACACTTAAGCAAGTTATAGGCTTATGGGGGAGCTTAGAGGGCCGATGGAGTGGGGCTGAACCACCACGGCCAGAATTGGGGATCTTAGGAGACTCTTTTACTCCCTTCGTGTTCCCCTACTTTTGGATGTCTCACTCTGAAAAGAGACACAGGTGTCAGTGAACCGTCTAATATTGCCTCGATTAAGTTTCACCTCTACTTTTGACGCTTATCGATAAGCATCATCAATTTTCCATTGATGATGCATCTCCACCTTATCTCTAATGGCTAGTTGCAAGCCACCAACATACCTAGGAACGAGCTGCTCCTTCATTTTTTGTATGTCATTTCTCACCATGAGCTTCTAAAACATCTCACTGTATCCAGACACACTCCTAGTCTCTTGCCAGAGAATTTGAATTGGGAAAAGAGAACCTATGAATAATATATTAGCAAAAACTTCTCCTTCATCTTAGACCTCATCTTTTCCCAAAAGGCAACCTTAGGCTCCCCTTTTTGAAGGTGAAGCTGCTGGATTTGATTTCACCAAGCCGAGGCATAGCCATGTAATCTAGTGGCTACAAGCTTCACACGAAGCTCCTTCTAGATTTCTTTATAGTCGAAGAACTTCTTGACGACACTAAATCTAAAAATTCTTTGGGATGTAGCTATCCATGGAACTCCAGTATGTCAAATTTAATAGAGTCTAAATCAACTTCATAATTGTTGGAAATGCTTGGGAAGCCGAATCGTTTTAGGAACCGGAATCGCAGAATAGTAGCCGGCTAGAAGATTCTTGTCTTAGGAATCGTTGTCCATACAATAGGAATCGCTAGGAATGAGAATCCTAGTTTTTGAGAATCGTGTTTCAACCGAAATAAATTTAAGCTTCATCCACATATGGAATCGAGATTCTGTCCCCTTGGAATCAAGTTTCCAATATCTATGGAATCAAGTTTCTAATATAGGTGGAACAAAGATATATTGTTGTTTCAAATCGTGATTCTAACATATCTGGAATCAAGTTTCTGAAGTATATGGATCAGAGATCCATGCTAGTTTGAGATCGAGATTTACAATAATATGGACTATGGAATGCATTTGAATTTGATGACCCCTACCAGAAATCGAGATTTCAATTTTTTGGAGAAGGAAGCCACAAGCACATCTTGAGCCTCATCAACTTTAGAACCTATATTGGGTGTCTCTTATTAGAAGGTTTCCCAAATTTTAAAATGAATGTGTTGACTATTGAACTTACGGTCAGTATGTATAAAAGGCAAGTATTTCTAAATTATGATTTTGGCTTCATTATTATACAGATAATAGGACTATGTCTAAGCATGGTTTTACTTTTAATTGTATATGTTGTATTTACCAGTTATATTTTAAATTTAAAATAAAGGTCATCCAAGGTGGCATAAGTAAAATAATGAAACCCTGCAACCACTAGAAACATTCGAAAGGAAGATTTCTACTCCAATTGACGTGGATTCAAGATTTAATCCTCGTTGAATGCAGGTTCGATATATTTGGGAACGTCTACCCACAATTAATGGGTTCAAGTTTCTAAAGATGTGTTGGATCAAGATTTTGAAATTAAGGAATCGGGTTTCCTTGGTTCCAATAAATGGTTTCTAAAGATGTGTTGAATCGAGATTTCGAAATTAAGAAATCGAGTTTCCTTGATTCCAAAAAAAGGTTTCTAAAGATGTGTCGAATCAAGATTCCGAAATTAAGGAATCGAGTTTCCTTGATTCCAAAAAACAGTGTCCGTTGAGATTCCTTAACAGAAACGCAAAATCGGGTTTCGGAATCGAAAACACGAGGTTGGTGGAGATATTCTGGTAACTATGATCAAATCTAAATATGTCCTCACTCCCCTCCTCACGCCAATGTTGTTGTACGAAGGGCTTAACCTAAGACTCGTTGTTAGAGGAGTCTCAACTAGATTCAAGCACATTTCGAGCATTTAAACACTTAAATTGTGTAGTCAAATGCTCAACTTGGTGACGCAACTCGTCATTTCGCACATTGTTCCAGAAAAAGTTGCACATCCTCCCTACCTCTAGCCCTTCTTTGTGCCATGAAAGAAGACTACTTTCTAAGAAAAGAGGAGGTTCTTTTCCAGGCTCTAATACTTAATGATTAGGGGAAAACAATACAACAAATAGAGAGAGAAAACAACAAGCAAAATGGTAGAGGTGAGAGGAAGTGATAGCGGGAGACAAGATCTAAGATTTTCTATTCAAATTTCATTAGTGTCAATTCAAGCTTTTACATAAATCAAAAAATGGCGCAGCACACCCCCCCTTTAAACTTGCTTTTACCATATGGCCAACATTCTTTAAAGCCCTACAATTCCCATTACAAAAAAAAAAAAATCTATAACTTCCCAAGACACTATTAGTCATCCCACATTTTCCAAATCTACCACAACTTCCAAACACGAAAGAACCAATACATTAACTCTCTTTGACTTCCCTAGACATTGACCCAAGAAAATTGTGGTTTCAACTTCCAAACACGCAAGAACCAACACATTGTGGTTTCCATTCCCATCACAAACACCACCCCACTAACACCTTCAAAAAGTTAACTCCTAATCTTCTTGAAAAAACAGGTAGGGGCCTGTCTTCCCCACTGAATTACCCAAAAAAAGCAAAAACTCTCTCTGACTTCCCTAGACATTAATGACCCTAGAAAATACAAATCTCTTTGACTTCCCTAGACATTAATGACCCTAGAAAATACAAATCATACTAACAAATTTTGGGATAACAAAATTAATGTAAAATGACACACTTGGGGAACCCACACTGCCAAGTCACTCACAAACTGCCTTACATGGCAATCAGGGCCCATGCTAGCCTACATCATCCCACCTATCCAACAGTTGTTTTCTGAGTTTCGAACCTCATCACCCTTTAAATCTGTTTTGCAAGGTCCATTCTTCATGTTATTAAGCTTGTTCTTGCACCAATTTACTATGCCTAGCATTAGCAGTGTAAATAAAAATGCATAGTGGAAAAAAGCAAAGTGCAGTCCCCTGGCATAGCTCCAAAGCGCTTTCCCATGGTGTAGGTCAAACTAACAGTGCGACATGTGAGCTTTCGACGAATTAGAATGAATGTAATAAGAGCTAAAAAAATCATTGTAATAACCATGCCTTCAGTTTTTTTCATTATTGGTTAAGACAAGAGAAGAACCAGGCATGCAACAGGCACAGGACCTCAGTTCAACCAATCAGCATGATGATGTAAAACACAAATCACAAGTGAAGATAGTTTTTCAAACCAAAATAACACTTGAGTCATTGAAAACAAAGTAGGATTTTGACAATCTGTATATAAAATATTCAGACTCAAGACTACCAGTCACATAAAAGAAACTTCAATCTTCGTAATATTTTCATGCACTTTCTAAAAGGCATATATACTAGAAAGTAGCAAGTATTTAATAGAAAAGACACATAGCAATAAACTTATTATGGCCTTAATGAGACTGCATATGCAAAACTTATGTAGCAAGAATAATTAATTTAATTTAATTTAATTCATCCAAAAAAGATTAATTAATTTAATTGTATTAAGCATACCAGATGTGCACGGCACAGATCTTCAAGACTAGCACGAGCATTTAGATCTTTGTCCACAAAAGCATCGCCACCAACACTTTCCTGTAGTTGACGTACATAATTATTTACCAATCTTTCAAACTTTCCAAAATCCAGTTCAGAGTTCATAGCAGTAACTTCCAACAAAAAATAATTAAATTCAACCTGACAAACTAAGACTGAACCCACCTGTTCAGGTTGCAAAGGAGCTTCATTTTCCTTATAATTATCATTCGGCAAGTCAATGTCAGCGTCCTCAAAATCATCAAAGCCATTCTCAAATTTAAAATCCTCATTTTCATTCACAGGATCACCATGAATACCACAATTTCCATTACTAGCAGAAACTAGGGTTTGCCTTAGCTGCAATGACAAAACAATATCTCCTTCACATGAAACAATAGATGTTATATTGAATATCCAAACTGAAGACACACGAAAAGCAAAAACAAACCTTCTCAAATGGTGGAGGAGAGTGAGATGCTGGTGTATTTTTCAAAGCATTGGTCAGTGCTTCCAATGCTTCTGCAAACTCTGGGCTTATTGTTCCATGCAATTTTGCCACAGGAAACTGCAATGATATAGAGTACTCTTCAGTGTGACTCACTCTCCGAGCTCTAACAAAGTTCCCTGGGCAATATGAATAACAGTGATTTATTCCAATAATAACACAAACAAAATATACTACATTAGATAACAGAGTGGAAGGCTGAAGCTATATTCATTATTTTAATTGATAATTAGTGAGAAATATTGAGTATTTTAAGTCACCTTTTTTAAAGGGCTTTACTTTCAAAGTACCAGGTTCATGGGGATTCAAAGGCTTCCAAGGATCATCATCAGAATCTTCTCCAACGTCGTCTTCATCAAATAGGTCTCCTCCAAAAAACGTATTATCCTCAGGAAGGTCCTGGCCATGAGGTGACTTATTATTACTATCAACGCGACTAGCATTTGGATCAATATCCTGACTTTTTCCAAGACCTGATTTCTGGGCCGATGCAGATCTCCGAGATGGAGACTGGAAAAAACTTCTTCGAGATTTAGACCTCAGTGAGCTGCCTGCGCTAACAGAAGTGTTCCCTAATGTAGACTTATTCACCTTTAAGAAGCAATCGATCGATTCGGCATCACAAGGATCTAGTAAAAGAAAATCCCTGTGAAGACTACTCGTGGCTATCTGCATTCATGAATATAAATTGATTTCAAAAAATTTCACACGAGTTTGTTTCTTTAATGGGTTCTATAATACAATTATCTTACCTGATACGAAGTTAGATCCCCTGAATCTCCGATATCAAGATGATCGCCTTCTAGTACAAGCAAGCTTGCAGGGGGCTTCACGAAATGGCTCAACTGATCATCTTTACTTATATCTTCATCCAAGTTTATGTTAGCTTCCACTGCCAATAAAATAAAGCTGTCAATATGCAATAAAGGATTAAACCCATCAAATATAGATATCATTCCAGAAAATTTTACCTGGCACATCATCTAGGCTTAAAAATTCCTCATTCTCATCATCAACAATTGCATCAGCATCACTTCCATCAGGATGGATCGATGACTTTTCCTGTTGATCCTGCCTGCTAAATATAATGATCAAAATAGGAACAGAACACATTAAAATGAAATCCAAATAGTTAACAAAAGCGTTTATAAGTATATATTACAGGACACTAAGCACAAAAATATCACAACAAATTTAGATAATTACTACGATAGGTCGCTTCCCTAAGTCATAAAGGAGAACAAATTATCAATGACCAAACAAATCCTCACATTATAACTAAGTTCTCAAATGGAAATAACTCTAAAGCTAAATCTTCATAGATTTACATTACTAAGGAATAAGGAAGAACTCCATACCGTTATAAAGAAGACAAAATTTACCCACCAATATAAAATTGCTCTAATCACACTAGAGTTGAGTCCTACTCCAACCAGATTTGAGAAAATAGAAGCATGTTTCATCACAATAAAAAATTCAACCAAAATAAGACTTGTAGCAACTGTTGCACATGAAATGCTATTTTACGAAAGCTGACATCAATCAAATAGATACTCATCAAAAAAACTGAATAAATTACACCTAGGATAACTATAGACTACGAAACAAAGACACATATTGGCGATGTTTCAGCTTCTTCGACACCAACACGTTGCAACAAATCAAACATGCCCCTTCACACCCAGGGCTGCCATAAAGTTTTAGTATACTAAAATTTTTGCGGCGTAAGAAAAGAAGACATGTCTTGAAATTTTGCATTGCAAAACGTGGTTCAGTCCGATGATACATGTATTTCAGAGATATTTGTTTAAATTATTTTAACAGATGCGAACATAGGTGACCAGTGAATGAAAATTCGCCGCCTAGGCGGCTTGGTCGACAAACCGCCTAGGCGTAGCCTAGCCAGTGGGGTTTGGGCAAGCATGCCTAAGGCGGGCGCCTAGGCGATCTAAAAAAAATCAAATCCACCCAAATAAAAATAAGGTTTGGTATTGCCCTTCTCTCTCTCTCTCT